TATTGATTACATTAACAAACTCTTTCCCAACCAATTGAAGATGAGGGTAAGGTCAATTTTGTTTGATTACTACACTGTTGATTCTTTTACACTGTTCTGGCACATAGAAAGTAATGAATAAATATTTGTTGAATGAATGAATGAATTCAATTCAAAGAGACACTAAAGGTTTCTTGATGATACTCTGGCCAGGCAGGGACCATACAGAGTTTGGAGAAAGGCAAATATAAGAGTTGTTCAAGAACCCCAATATCTTTTACAGGCTGGTTTGTCTGTAGGTTCTCTAAAAAGCAAGAAAAGAAAAGAAGCAAGAAACTCTAGGGCAATGGTTCTCAGACTGTAGGTAGTGATCCCCGTGGCAATCCTTTATCTCCAGAAATATTTAGGTTACAGTTTATGATAGTAGCAAAATTACAGCTATCAGGTAGCCACAAAAACAATTTTATGGTTGGGGTCACTACAAGAAGAGTTGTATTAAAGGGTCACAATATTAGGAAGATTGACAATCACTGCTCCAGGGAGTCTATGCCCTTTGCTCTTCTTGCTGGCTTCTCTAGCTGGCACTCTGACTCCCTGAACATGCTACTTAAATGCTAGGTAGGATCAGAGCTTTGGAGTTATAAGGCTTTCTCTGCAGTCTCTGCTTCCCCCAACTAGTTAAAAAGGGAATTTAGAAGCAATTCTTCTAGATCTATTCGAAATATTGTGAGTACCCAGGAAATTGTTCTAGCAGTGCCTACTGAACTCTCTCTCTGTCTCTGCCTCTTTCTCTCTCTGTCCAAGAAAGGTCTATCTTTGGAACAGGGTTGTATGAAAAGCCATTGGGTTTTTAAAACGGGAGCAGTAATGGGAAAGGACATTTAAAATGGAAAGGCAGAAGGTCAAAGGTAATCTGCAATATATGTGTTTATTACTTTACTCTTCTTTCCACTTGAATAGTCGTGCATATGAGTAAGGGCTGTGTTTTCCAGGTATGGCTGTATAAAGACATGTCAAAGCTCTAAATAAAATAAGTAAGAGAAAAAACTAGTAAAGCATAGAAATGTGGTCATCTATTATGAGGTAATTTAATTTGGTTTTGATCATGATTCTGAGAAATTGAGAATATCTTTAAAGTGAATAATATTTTTTTTTGTATAATCCTGCCTTTCTGTGTATGGGTTGTAAATATTTAGGTGATGCAGTAGATTTGTGCTGACAATCAAAGCAGACATCTGTATCGGCACCTTAAGAACTCAGGGATCAGAGTCGTGGAGTGAGGTCAATGTTACAAGGAAGGAAGTAATTTCGTTCTTTACAGCTTGACTTGAATCCTAATTATTTATGAGATGAATGACTATTAAAAGTGGTTTTGTTGTCCTATTTTCATTTCATAATCTGTTTTAAACATCCCTCTGTGTGGTTAATTATATTTCAAAATCATAATTTCCAATGGATATAGTGGCTTTTCTTTTTATTTTTATAAACTATAAGGTCAGTAGAATGACATAAAATGTTTATTTGCTACCCAGATGGGCTTGATCGTTTTCTTTCAGTCAAGAGATGTTGAAAGGAAGACACGCTCCTCCACCTCCAAATTACTTTTTCTTTAGCCAACATTCCACCATTTGAGATATGAATCTTTAGTTTTCTATCCTGTCAGCCAAGGGCTCGTCATTAAAACCTAAGCCACAGTCAATGATACTTCAATGATACACATATTCTCGTGCAGTTAGTGACTCTATCTATGGAGTCTGTCCGTCAGGATTAACTAAAGTTCCATTAAGAACACTTATGCATGGAACCCCACACTCAAGTTTAGACAGAGTCTCTGGGTGAGGAGGGAATGAGCCGGGATGATCCTTATACCTGGTGATGTTTCAGTATCACCGAGGGAACTCTAGAAGTCATTCTGAGAACACTGCTTTTTAGAATGTAGAAAAGGCACTACAGGAGGAAAAGGAGAGGGTGCCAGGACAAAGGAGAGAGGTGAGGTGAGCTGGAGGTACCAGAGCTAAGCTTTGGCTCCTGCTATGAATCTGCCTAGGGCCTGTTCTTGAGAACATCATTATTGCTTTGGTCAGTGGTTCTATTGACCAATCTCTCTCATCCAGGAAAAGTGGGAGCCGGTTGAAAACCCAGCTTTGCAAATGGCAGTGCTAGACCACAAGAATGCATGCAAAACAAAGAACTCTCAGAGATAAACTCCCTTGACTTAACGGAGCCCCTGGGGGGGTTAGAGCCTTTTTTATTTGTGCTGGCCCAGTAACATGTGGTGTAGATCCAGATATGTCCTGGGTCTTGTGATCATAGACTTTCTTTTGAAAACAGTTGCTGACAATCTGTCACTCCTTTGTGCCCGTTTGAAAATGTGGGGTATCAGCTGCTGTCGCTGTAGGTCCATTTCTGGTTTCCAGCAGGCGGGTGTGTCTGCTTCTCTTCTTTCATCTCCGTCCAGCTCGCTTCTTTGCGGCACTTTCCGGTTTGTCAAGCCAAGTATGCCTGTCATGTTGGAACCCAGCCCTGGGACACTCACCAACTCTCTTTGTATTAGTATCTGTCTTGCCTGTCTGTCCATTCTTCCTTATCTTCTGCAAGCCCACGGGTTCCTTCAGGAGCTCACCTACGTCTGAGTTTTTTAAACTGCAGATGTTCACAGACTGCCAGTTCACCTCCTAGTCTTTCTTTGCTGAGAATCCATTCTTGCTTTGTCCTTTCTGTTCAGCCCCCTTGGCCATCCCCCCCCCCCCCACTGGGGGTTTCCATCTCAGGCCAACTCACAGGTTTGGTAGCTGCGCTGAAAGAGGCAGGAAAGCTTAGTAGGTTTCAGAGTCAGACTAGGATCTGAATCCTGTCTTTGTAACTCGGAAAACAATAATCCTGACATTGAGTTGTTGTGAACATCTAAATATGTGTGGTATACAAAACAACAGCACCTATGAAGTACAAGGTGGCTGTTACTATCTTATTATTATTTGCAAAAGTGAAAACAAAACCTTCCTGTATTATGGATTTTTCTGAGTTTGCAATTCCAAGGGAGGTAGGAGACAGAGAGGCATTCATTCCCCAGACATGTGACTCTAGAGTAGGACTGTGAAGAAAATAGACCTGAAGCAGGGTGAAGCACCGTGATGCTGCAGCAAGCTGAGTCCCCTGTGTGCTCATGGGCTCCTTTCTTTAAGCAGAGGCTTGATGAGAGTCACCTGGTTCCCTCAGTGCCATTTCACTTTGGGAAAGCCTTGAATCCTCAAACAGACCAGTTTATAATGTCCTGGGAAGTCCCCTCAGTGGGTTGTGAAGCTTCTCTCATGCTGCAGGTTCTTGTCACATTCTGTGCAGGTGCCAACATGCTCCTCTAGCCTCCTGATATTCTTTCTGTTGCTACTAATGTCACCTGTTTAGGGATATGCAAAAACTGTGTCGACTGAAGGATCCACAGATGAACATATCTGGGGTTTATTAGTCTCTGAGACACCGCTCCAAAGAGGCTTGAGTTTCAAAATAAAATCTACCCTTTCTTCTCTTTCAAACTTGACCTCTTCCTTCTATGGCTTGCTTTGCTTCCAAACACTCCCAGTAAGCAAACAATACTGCTGGAAAGCATTCCACCAACAAAACAAACAAACAGATAGACAGACAAACAAACAAACAAACACCCTTCTACTTCCTTTCCCAAACCTAAAAGGCTGCAGAAATCACCAAGCTCCTCCATTCTTTCTTTTCTGCTCTCCTGGGCTCTATTCGTTCTTGACCTTTGCTTTTTCATCTTACCTACATCATTGCAAACTCTATGACCACACTTCTGCTCCCCAAACTACTTTGCAGAACCCACCAAAACTTCTTGTTCGTGCTCCAGCCTGTGTATATCCCAGGCTTCTTAGAAGTCATGTTGCTGTTGTTATAAGTGACTGTATGCTTTCTGTGGGTACAACAGCATATTTCTTTCATGGAAAATAGAACAATAATTTAAAAAAATCTACTTGGTACAAATATATTGTCAGGTTATTGATTTTGCCCTGCTCATATCTCATATTTTTTTCTTGTGAGATCCTGCTTCTAGCCAACATAGGATTATATTTGGCACTCGGGGACAAAGATGGCATGGAGAACTAAAACCTAGAGATAATCCTATAAGCTCATCTAGAACAAAGGTTTAATTATACCCCTATCAACCAAGTCTTTTATGTGAGCTGAGTTGAAATAAGCAACAAATTGGTGAGCTTCATGTGGTCGGCTTCCTTTGGTGACTGTAGATGCAGAAGGAATACAAGCTAGCGTGAAGGAGACAAAGCTTCCTCACAGAACAACTGGCTTGTGTTTGGTCCTATTGGTCAGAAAACAATACGTGTTAAATGCATCACTGAATACATCTTTCTATGTGAAGAAATAAACATTGGACAGTTTGTTTCAGGGTGGACTGAAACTGTCTGGGAATGTTCTGTACTCTCTAGTGACAAATTTCTCTCAGTTATAAACCAAGAAGCTACGTGGTAGTGTTTTTGGAGAAGGAGCTGGCCAAGTGCCAGGGTACGTGTGGGTGAATAGAAATAAGAAAGGGCACAGATAGAGACTAACCTATGCTGTTGCCAAGGGACTGAGCTTTGCCCTCTCTTCATGTCCTTCTTTCTTGTACCCTCTGCGTCAACAGCCTGAAGAAGCTGATATTTAAGGGTAAAGCCTATGGTATCCTGAGAGGTTATCCATCTTATTTACTAAAAACTTCTTTAATCTACCCACACTGCCAACACTCCAGGATGGATTTATTGAAAAAAATATTTAATAATTGTTACAACACAAGGCACTGGCCTAAAAGAATGGAAACAAACAGGTGACTATTTGGAACCTAGAGTGTCATTGTCTCTGGTGTGGACTCTGTAAGGGCCTCCTGGATCCTCTACAGATAGAGTGATCTTTGCCATGGGTAAATACCATTTGGTTAATGATCAGGTTGTCTCACTGCTGATTAGTTGTCAAGCTACCCAATAGCGAGGGCAGGAAGTAGGGGGTGGAACTTCCGGGCAGAGAGAGTGACGCAGGGAGAAGAAAGGGGAAGCGAGAGAATCCCGAAAAGAAACAGGGAATAGACGTAAAGCACAGAAGCAGAGAGGTATAGAGCTAGCCACATGGTGAGTCAAAAGCCACATAATGGGGTTAAGTTTAAGCAGTGTCTGGGAGACTGCTCCAGTAAAAGGCCTAAGCTTTAAACTGTAATAGAAGTCGCATGCCATTATTTATACATCAGGAGGGTTGGAGAAAGTCCCGCAGTAGGTTACACTTCGTTCTCGATACTTAAAAACTTCCCATGATTCCCATAAGATAAAGAACATCGTGGTTATGGTCTTTAAATCCTCTAATATCCCTTATCTGCCTCTGATACAGTGGATACATTTCCTGTACGAAGATACTAACCTCCATGAGGGGAGAGAGTACAGTCCCTCCCCTATTCATGTTCTTGATAACAATTTAATGTAGTATGTGACACAGACCGAGAATTTATTAAAGGATCTTTGAATGCATACATTCATAAGAGAGCAATCCAAACTTTCCCCACGTATATCTTCCTATCTGGTCCACGACTTTTGTTGTAAAATACATGTGAATGTGTGTTTAGTAAACGGTTTTATAGAAGTTATCTGACATTTCTTATACCAGTTGCAAGGCAACTGTGTTCTCCTGGTGGGGGTGGTGGCAGACACCTGGGAGTTCTTCCAGGTTACCCTCGTCACTTCACTGTCAGCACGAACCTACTGATGTGGTACTCTCTCTTCTATTTCCCAACTGACTGTTCTCACTGTGTCCTCGGTAACTTCCCGCCGTTGGCAGAGGATCATTTTTACATGTTGTTGTTTCCAATTGGTTCCCTGTTTTCATTCGTCCTATCCCCAAGCTCATTTTCTGGGGATCTGCCCAGAAACCCAAACTTAGCTATGTCACTATTTCCTGAAGATTCTTGAAGGGTCAGCTTTTAGTTTAACGCAGAAAAAAACCTGTTGTCTTTTGAGGCCTACCTACTCTTTGATCAATGTAAGGGATATTTATTGAGTACCTACTGTGTTCTAGAGGATCTACGGATGGGAAATAAGAAAATATTTTCTTATTCTTTATTAGTTTTTTCCTGTGTGTACTGGGGACTAAGTACAGCCTTGTATGCTAGGCAAGGGTTCTGTGACTGAGCCATGATTCCTATTCTTAATTGAAAATATTGTCAAGGTCGGTGGTGGCGCACGCCTTTGATCCCAGCACTTGGGAGGCAGAAGCAGGCAGATTTCTGAGTTCAAGGCCAGCCTGGTCTACAGAGTGAGTTCCAGGACAGCCAGGGCTACACAGAGAAACCAAAAAAAAAAAAAAAAAAAAAAAAAAAAAAAGAAAATATTGTCAAATGGTGCACTCTTGGGTAAGACATACATAACTAATATCTATATATGGCTCCATCTTCCTTCCTTCCTTTCTTTTATTTTACTTATGCCATAATGTGATCTCCCTTTTATTTCTCAGTTCTACTGAAGTCTGTCTTAAAAGATCATTTTGCAACAATTAGAGAACTATTTTTTTCTTTTAGAATATTGATTGCTTCAATGTCTATTTTATCAGTGAATTTTGATGTTTTACACTTTCACACATGCACACTATGTCTTTTGGTCTGTCTCCTCACTCCTACTCCCTTATCTCCTTCCTACCTTCACTAGATTCTTCCCCTAGTCTCTCTCCTGTTAGCTAACGTTGGCTTAGTTTAGTGTCCCGCAGGGTTTAATCAAGCTAGTTCTTGCTATCCTGAACTTAGAACTGATCATCAGAGCTTGTGGGTTCACTAGCGGGTGGTACACAACTCGATAGCGTGCCTCTTCTTGCCCCAGGATCTGTTAGTCACTCTCAGATCAGCGGTGTGTGGTAGAGCCCTGTGGGTCCTTTCCCCTCCTGTAGCTGTCTCTAGGAGGACCTGGCTTTTTTGAACTCAGTACCAGAATGCACAGCTGCTATGAGTTCATGGTCTCCATGTCTGACTTAGAGGATGGCATTTCACTCTCCCTCCTCACCCCAAGGCTCTTAAGCTATCCCTGACTTCCACCATCAAGACCTAGTTTTCTCATGGTACTAATCAATTAGTATATGCATCTAATAACTTCCTTCCCTAAGAAGGATGGGCTGTTCTTTTACTGAGCTCTGTTTGTTTGTATTTCCCCCAAATAAGCTGTATCCTCTGTGTGATATACTGTTTTGTCTTGATCATCATTGCTTTGGAGAAAAGAGAGCTACAGGTTAAAGGATGAACAGGCACTGGGCAAATGCTTTTCAGTTGGGAAAATATTCCCTGAGGATATGTGACCCGAGAATATATCATTTAGGTTATATACATTTTGTAACAGGGTTTAAGGAATTGACATTTATTATTAATCTTGTTGATATGTTCTAAAAGTTGATATACTACAAAATATGGAGCCAGATCGGATGGCACACATGTTTAATCTCAGCATATGGGAGAGCGATGGGTAAGTCTATGAATTTGAAGCTAGCCTGGTCTACAGAGTGAGTTCCAGACCAGCAGGGAAACACAGTGAGACCATGTCTTAAAAATAAACAAGTAAATAAAAAACAGCTTCTATTTCATTAGGTGATCTGTATTTAGACGGAATCCAATTGCAATCCTGACCTTTTAAAAAGTATATTAACTATGGTAGAAAATTAACTTGTATATGTGGAATGATATACACACAATTGTGACAAACCTCAGTAGTAAAAATTCGTCTTATGGCCATTTCCTACTTTGATTTATGGTGGAATTTGGCATGGTTTAGAATGTCAAGTGCTGATATTATCCCCCCTAGAATGTACCAGATTTTTTTTTCTGTTGACGCAGATAGCTATTTTAGCAATCCATTTTCAGGTGGGATCTCCCAGGCATCACTTTTTCCTCAGGACACCTATTTTTATTTCTGTCTCTTGGTTATCCTCAGACACAAAGTCAACATGAATTACTTCCTGTGACAGCAAATCTTGTTTCAAGCTCTCTCGGGCATGCAGATTCCAGTGGGGGGTTGTCTGAGATGGGAACACTGGGGAGTGGGGGTCTGGTTTTGTCAATGCTCAAATATTTATTAATCATTTGCTCTGTGTCCAGGTCCCTAGAAAGGTACAGTCATTTCTGTTCTATTTGCCAGTGTATTTTCAAGGCTAAGCACATGCCTTGTGAATATTTTTATTTGTGTGTGTGTGTGTGTGTATGTGTGTGTGTGTGTGTCCCCGAATGTGCAGGCACGGGTGTGGGCATGTGTGTGTTCAGGCATGCACGCAGTTGGGAGACCCTGTGTATGGAGGCCAGAGGTAGCTGTCTGCTGTCGTCCAGAGGTGGATGTCTACTGTCTTCTCTCTTGTCTTCCCTTTAGATTTGAGACACAGTCTTCACTGAACTTGGAGTTCATTGACTCAACCATACTGCCTGGCCAACGAGCTCCAGAGGTTTGTCTGTCTCTGCTCATCTAACAACGTGGTAAAAGATGTACACAGAGTCTGGCTTTTGCATTGGTGCTGAAGTTTTGGACTCTGGTCCTCATGCTTCTGTGGCAGTCACTTTAATGACTGAGCCATCTGTGCAGCCTGTTAAGAGTGTTTTTGAACGAACAAGTCACTGGAAGATGTGGAGCCTAGCTAAGGAAGGGGAAACATGGTTGGAGAAGCTGGTAGCGAATGAGCCTTCAGTGATGTTCCTGCTATGTTCCAGGCCCTGTGTTCACACTATCCATGTGTTATCAATTGTACATGAACATTTTGAGATAGCTAAGGTTATTTTATTTTCCATGATGCCTTTGTTTTCCTAGTTGCAGAGCCAAGGAATAAAACAGGAATTATACAAACAGTATCATTGTGTTCCTAATTATGTACTTTGATTTCTTTTTAGTAATTAAATTTGTTCTTTGACAATTTCACACATGTACATAATGCACATTGACCACTTCTCATAGGTTCTCTCATCCCCGTGTATCCCTTCTTTACAAATTACTTTCTTACATTCTTGTCTATTTTTTATTTTTTATTTTATTTTATATTTTGTGACCCATTGAGTTTAACCAGTCATTTGTGTAACCATGGATTTGGAGCTCTCTGTTGGAGATTTGTGGGATCAGCTGAAGGTAAAATGTGCCTCTCCCCAAATCTATCAATAGATAATAGTTCAGCAGTTAGGAGAAAGGACTCATGAGCCCCCTCTCTCTTCCATGACTGATTGTTGACAGTGCTTGTGGCAATTGTGAATTCAGGACTTCAGTATGTGTTGGTTAGGGTTTTTATTGTGATAAAACAGCATGCCAAAGAAACAAACAAGCAAACTTTTGGGAGGAAAGACTTTATTTTGCTTATATTTCCAGGTAACAGTCCATCACTGAGGGATCTCAGGGCAGGAACCTGGAGGTCAGAACTGATACATAGGCCATGGAGAAGTGCTTCTTATTGGCTTTTCTTTCTATAGCTTGTTGTCATAATACCCAAGATCACCAGCCCAGAATAGGCACCATGCATAGTGAGCTTCACCCACCTACGTCAATCATCAATCAAGAAAATGTATCACAAGCCAGGCTAGTGTGGGCATTTCTCAGTGGGGGTTATCTCTTCCAAAATGAGTAGTGCTGTTAAGTTGACATAAATTTAGTCAGCACTCAATGGTTATAGCAAGTCCAGAGGATTGCAATCCCATGTCCCTTTACTTTATCTTCTGACTATTACGTATTTCACACTCCCTCTTCCTCAGTGTGTCTGAGCCTTAAAAGGGGGCGGTGCAAATGCCTTGTTTAGGCCTGAGACTTCGACCACTGCTTACTGTAACGTCTTGGACAGCTACCACTCTCTGATTACCAACATTTACTGCAAAGAGAGGCTTCTTGGATTAAGCCCGAGGGTAGTTTTTGTTTATTAGCATAAACCCAGAGACTCAGAAAGTAGTATGATGCTATGCCAGATTAGCTCAACAACATCGGTAAGTTCCAGGAAACAAGGAAAAGGATGTAGTGGGTGGATGACCTTAGGGGAGGAGGGATAGTAGAACACAGTTGGAAGTAAAGGGTGAATTGTGGCATAGAAAAGGCTTGGGCTACAGGGATGTAGGGGGAATGGGGATATAAAGCTATAGAAGGCACTGTACTCCAAGCACAATGCTCCAAACCAGGAAATTAGTGAGAGGCTGTGAGGAAGGAGGGATCTTTCAAGGGAGGGGAATACAATACAAATATAAAAAGAGAAAAGGAAATAGTGGGACAGGCAGAAATAAATGGAGTGGGGGATGGGAAGTCAGAGCAGAGAGGGAACTATGGGAAGAGATAGTAAGAAAGACCTCTTGAAAAAGCTATATGGAAACCTAGTACTGTAGATGTTTCCTAAAATATATACATATACAAATATAAAAAGAACTTTAATGTAGTTACCTTAGAAGGATAGAACAATACCTCAACTAGACATCACATGATAGCAAATAAAATCCACAGTACCAGGAATGGGCTACCTTTATTTATTTATTTATTTATTTATTTATTTATTTATTTATTTGGGTTGTTGACCAATGGGATTTCATAGTCCCCCTAACATTACAAGCTATTGCCAATCCTCTTGGTTAACTTCTAGAACTTGATGGTAAGACTTTGCTGTTTAACATACTACATACTTGAATTGTAGGGGATGGAGAAACCAAGTTTGTATTTACCTTGGAGACCAATGTTTGGAAGAAACCAACAACTTTTAGATGGGATCTAAGGCCTACTCCATGAACTAGAATGCAAACATGGCACTATTAATTAGACGAAGAACCTGTGGTTTAAGATAGATCATAGGCCCTAAGGGAGAATCTACTGTTATTCTGCTAAATGGACCCAATTAAAACTGAATTCTAATTACTCTATACCCATAGACCAGCACCTGTCTTAAACCTCATCAGAAAAGCTTCTCCTTGGAGTATATGGCAACCACCAACACAGAGACTCTCAACAGGTCAACATAAAGAGAATACAATATGGTGGAGTGCTTAGCCTGAAGTGGTATATATGTATCACACCTCGACTTCCAAGTTTGAGCAGTTTTCAGGGAAGAGAAGGTGGTAAGATTATAAGAGTCAGAGGTTGTGGATAAATTGAAGGAGACAGTACTTCTTGAAGAGAATAGGGCATTTGCACATATGGGTTCAACAATTGTGACAGTAGGCACAGATCAGGGAGCCCAAGACAGACAAAGTCCCAGCATGGGAAGGTAGGCACGAAAATCCCACAATAGCTGAGGAGCTTTTGTCGTTTAATAGCTTCTAAGAGAGGAAAAGTTAATTTTCTTTAATGGTGTGATCTATGATACGTGGACCAGACTCTAGGGTAGGCTTCTCTCTCAAGAGTAGTTGGGCAACGCAAACTGGACTTGATGGGGCAAAGGGGGAGTGAGGAAGAGGAGGAAGGAGAAGAGGAGGAAAAGGGGGAGGAAGAAGAGGAGGAGAGAGAGGAGCCGAGGAGGAGACAATGACAATGATAATTACAACTCAAAATTGGGAGGGTAGGGAGGTGCGGGCAGAAAGGATGGGTTCTGGAAAGTTGGGGATGATGCAATTAAAATACATTGCATGAAATTCTCAAAGAGTTAATAAAATGTTATTTAAAGAGGCTGTGGATTTGAAATAGACCAAGGAGGGCTATACAGGAGGATTTGGGTGGAGGAAATTATGTAATTATAATTTCAAAAATAAAATAAAAATATAATAGAAAAATTTCTACTTCAAACTTTGTGTTCTATGATCACATTTGAGAATGCTGTTTATATACTGGCTATATACATTTTTTTCCAGAAATATGATTTATATTATTTCTGCAAGTCTGCCACTTCTTCCAAATTCTTAAATGTCTGTATCAGAGATTTCTAAAAAAAAAATCATGAATCACTTTCATATATTTTTAAGAATTTCATTACTGAGGTTTCAATGTTTTAAGACAAAATTCTTTGCCTAACTCAAAGTTAAAGTTTATCCTATGTTTTAGTCTAACAACAATCACAACAACAACAACCACACCAAACCAAACCAAACCAAACCAAACCAAACCAAACCAAACCAAACCACAAAATCCAACCAACCAACCAAAAAACAAAACCAAAACAAACAAATAAACAAAAAAACCCCAAACCCAAAACCAAAAACAGAAAAAAAGCCAAAAACAAAAACAAACAAAACAAAACCCCCCAAACCAACAAAACCCCCCAAACCAACAAAACCAGGGCAACTGGTAGGATTCCCATGCGCTCATGGATGGCTGCACACGCTTGAATATATGGAACAGCACTAAGTGGACTTAGTGGGTCATTAAAAAAAAGAAAGAAAAGAAAAAGAAGAAAAGACATGGAGTTGGGTGGAGGAACAAGGGGTGAGTTGGGGGTGACGTAAATATGGATATGATTGTATCTCATGGTATTCCTGTATAATATTTTCAACAACAAAGAAAAAACATTTAAAAGATCGTTTGCCAAGTTTTCAAACTTATATGTTTGAAGAAACATATAAGTTGGTTGTCAGACATGGAAAAAACAAGTTAGAGTTGAACTGGAAGATTCCACCCTGCTTAGCTAGGTTTCTAATGTACCAGAAGTTACCGTGTAGGCTGAACTACATGTGGGAGAGAGAAGCTATGCATTTGATTATTTAGCTGTGAGCCCTAACAACCAGCCTGCTGGTCAAGGTTTGCCCTTCTGTGCAACAGCAGCATGACTGTCATTGGGGTAACCAGCTACCTTCTGATTAGATAGGACACTCCATGGGAGGAAACCCATGCCTGGTGTTGTAAGCTTGGGAAAGTCATAGACCTAAGTAGGGAACTGGCTACTAATGTTTCCTTATGTACTTTGGCTATCTATATCTGCAGACCTAATCTCTTCGCAAAGTCTCTTTCAGTTATCGTGGACATTTTCTGGAAGCAGCTTTTGTATTCTCCACTGTCCTATGGGTAGAGTTAACAGTCTTGACACTCCTCTGGTCTGTTGTGGGTGTTTGTGGGGTTAGGCTGTACAGTGTTCCATGCCACTAAGCTGCTCTGGTGTCACGCCATTGCCTTTTATAACTGATAGATGAGATGATACCAAGGGGCTCTCTCAGGTAATAAGGTTCTCTTTCTGCTGCAGAGGGCAGTGCATGGAGAACGGCTAGCATGAGCCATAGGTTCGTCTGATGTGCTTCTTTAATGGATGAGGATCCGAGGCAGAGCATTTGGTGCTGGGCTACCTGTGGAGAACACAATGCTGTAGCTTCGGGTCACAGTCTGGTTTAGTCAGACTTGATAGCACAGAGATTGCTGTCAAGCTGTGACAGCTTGGGCTCTGATGTGGGGACCTTCCTTGAAGAAGTAGGTTTTCCAGGTTCTCAGTGATCTTAGAGAAAACTGGAATTTTGTTTTTACCAACCATGTTAGGTAGCTTATAGCTTCATGGAGCTCCAGCTCCAGGAGATCGATGCCTTCTTCTGGCCTCCAAAGGTACTCCTACCCCACATGTATGTGTGTAATTTATGTGTGTATATAATACAAACACATATATAACATAGTATATTATACACACACATATGTACATTATTACATACACACACACACACACACACACACACACACACACACACACACACACACATTGTAAGCAACCATATATACCCAATGCCTCAAGACTTGAGGCTGCTTTCCTTGGAAGAAGAAAGAGGATCTCGGGCTGGAGGAGGAGGGTTTGCGTTGCCACCAAGGGTTATCTGTCGATAGTTAAGGAAAAGAATTTGTCTTTTATAGATATTTTTCCAGCCTGTGTTCTGATGATTAATGAAGACCGTAAGTTGTCAAACGTGTTGTTCTAATCTCACAGTTTTAA